AACGGGCTCTGGTCCCTCTGCAGCGCTGAAACGGGCTCTGGTCCCTCATGGACTATGAAGAGTGTGTGCGAAAACAAACGTCCCACGACCACGTGACTGAGTCGACTGTCCAGCTTCAGATAGAGAAGAAGAACCCAGGAGCCAGGGAGAAAGAGAAATCACACACAAGACAGGCCCTGGAGCAGTGTGGAGAACTGGACCTTCCTGAAAGCAGAGCAGAAACCCAAACAGGATGCCAGCATCATCAGACCAGGACTCTGAGGTCTACACTCATCTCCAGGCCAGCGGTCACTCTTTCAGGGATGAAGATGAATCGTCCTTGACAGAGAGGAACGATGGTTTGAGAGAGGAGTAAAGGAGGCCATCTTTGTGAAAAGAAACCGTCCATCATTAAACAGGGGCGGAGCCTCCAGGTTCAACTGTCCCCCTCTTACAATGCTGTGATTGCTAGTATCACTCAGCCCTCTGTGAGTAGTAAACAGCCATCAGGTGCTAATGATCCATTGTTAGGCTGATGGTCCTTCTTGAGCATGTGATCAGCTGGTTCTGGTTGTCAGCAGCAAACTGGTTGATCCACTCTGAGAAGGTGCTATTTAAGAGACTGAGCTGAATACAGCACCTCAGACTGAAGAAGTCTTCTGGATAAAATATGAAATGTTTCAACAAAGAAGAATCCGTCCAGAGGACCTGACTCCACCTGGTTAGATTCATCTACCTGGATTGCTGAGCAGCATCAGGACGTTTGGTGCAAATGCTGCCGTTGACTCCCACAAGATTCAAGTCTGACAAGGAAACATAATTATGAATTTCCTGCAGCTACGCTTCCTGAATTAAGACCCTTCCAACAGGTCTGAGAGAAACTAGTAATTTGTAGGCCAGGGCCCCCCACGGTGGTGGTGTCCTCCTGATGTTTAAGAAAAGGTCTGAGAAAAAACCCAATAAAGTTCAGTCAGATCCTCTGGACCAGGGGCGTCAAACTCACTTACAAAAGGGGCCAAAATTAAAACCTCCTTCAAACTAAGGGCCAATTTCAGAATGTACAACTGAAATCAGATACCAGCAGCTTTTCTTGGTCACAGGTTCCTCAACAAGAGTTTGAATGGTCTCATTTGATGTTCTCTGTTGTGCTTTCGACGACATAATCAAAAACTACTGAAAACGATTCAAGAGATAGAAGTATTTCACGTTTCACATATCACCTTGGGGACCAGGTAAGATGTCAACGAGGGCCACATTTGGCCCCCGAGCCTAGAGTTTGACACATATGCTCTGGACTGTTTCTTGCTATTTTAAAGAAACTGTCCAGAGGACCTGACTGAACCTTGTTGGACTTTTTACGTGGATTATTGAGCATAAACTGTGCGTCAGGAAGAGCATCCGGTGTAAAAATAATCGCCAAGTCTTGGTACGACTCAGTTCGCTGTGGTGAGCCCTGAAGGAGGAGCAGCCGAAAGAAGACTGAGCAGAAACTGTGATTTCTGAGAAGAAACCTGCAGCCTGACAGACGTCTGCCACCAGGAGACGCGCACAATGAAGCATGATGTGGATTTCAAACGTCCCCTAAATGCAGCACAATCCTTTTCAAGCTGAGAAAACATCTGGACTGTACGGTGACATGTTGGAGAGAAAACATGCAAGGTAACTGCAAAGCTGCTTTCTAAGGCTGCTGTTGTGTTCACAAGTAATCAACCACAGGAACTAAAAATTAGCTTTGCTAACGCTAAATCGTGAAATTGGTACATAAATAAATAAATTGCGGAAGCCAACGCTAACCTGCGAAAACAACTGAGTCTTCATGTCCTTCCAGTTGAAATTGCGTTGGCCAACCACGTGTCGTGTCGTGTGCACGTAGCGAGCCAACAGTGAGCCTAACGAGCTCTTCAAGGCACCGCTGCATCATCAAACCAAAACCTCCAGCCGAGAAAAGCCCGGACTGTTGAAGAGCTAGACGCAGACAGGACGTAAACAGGCCAGCAGCCGGTCTCCTCAGTTCCTGGCTGTTTACTGACT